ATAGAAAAATACCGGAAAAACAAAATAAGGATCATGTTCCCAGGGAACTGACCAAGAGGAATTCTCAGTAAAGTAACAGAACAGCATAGAGACTCCCAAAGATAGCAAACAGGACAGAAACCACTACTGCTGGCCACCCTAGCAGCTGTCACTTCACCTGCACAACCAGCTCCCAGCCAGAGGACGCCATTTTGCCGAGAATGAGGGTGGGGAAAGGTGAAGGTGCCTCCTGCCATCGGCAGCCCTAGTGGCAAAAGAATTCCACAGTCCTTACTGACTTCCTAGTCTAGCCTGGGGAGCTAACTGGGGTCAACCAACAGCAAACAGCTGGTAGAAAAATAGGCAAAGGATATGGACAGGCAATTTATACACATAAAATTCAATAGCTTGATGAAAAAGTAAGGAAATGCCCAAAGACACTAGTAATTAGAAAGGTGAAATTTAAAATAACTGATTTTCTGGTCATTTTGGCAAACATTCAAAGAGGTAAATAACATAAAAGTTGGAAAAAACATGGAGGAATGGGCATGAGCATTCATGCATATGAACTTTGTGAGAGAGTATTTTCAGAAAGGAAGCCTAGCATTAACTATGAAGGCTGTAAGTAGGCATACTTGTAAACTACTGCCAGAGATCTGTCCTCTCTTATTCCTGTTAATCACCAAATTTCAGTGTTTGATCATTTATGATTGAGTTTCCCAACTAAATTTCATGATTCCTCACTCTCTGAGTTCAACTTGCATATTACTACTAGAAAGATTTTCCTATTTTTTCTCTCTTTTTATACACATATACTTCAAAAAATTCATGGAAAGGTAGAATTTACAGATAATTTTATTTTGTTGGAAAAAATTTTGAAATTCATGAAGTTTTTTCATAGTATACATTTTCAATGAACTTTACAAAGGCCCCTCCTTCATAACACAGGTTTAAAATTTTGTTTACGCCAAAATAAACTTATCTTTTAATTTCATTTCCCACAAAGTTTTTGAAGTCCTCTTGTATACCACACCCCACCACAATATTCTTCAGCATTGCTTTTAACAGCCCCAAACTGGAAACAATCCAATTATGTAACAATTATGACAGGCTTATGATATGTTCATGCAATAGAATAGTTGCAATAAAGAAATGAATAAAAAAAGAAATGAATGGACTACTAACTACAAGCATAAGCATAGATGACTTTATTTTTATTTTTATTTATTTATTTATTTTTTGACAGGCAGAGTGGACAGTGAGAGAGAGAGACAGAGAGAAAGGTCTTCCTTTTCTGTTGGTTCACCCCGCAATGGCCAACGCGGCCGGCATGCTGCAGCCGGCACACCGCACCGATCCAAAGCCAGGAGCCAGGTGCCTCTCCTGGTCTCCCATGTGGGTGCAGGGCCCAAGCACTTGGGCCATCCTCCACTGCACTGCCGGGCCACAGCAGAGAGCTGGACTTGGAAGAGGAGCGACCAGGACAGAATCTGGCGCCTCGACCAGGACTAGAACCCAGGGTGCCAGGGCCACAGGCAGAGGATAAAGTTGGGCAAAGAAGCAAAACACCAGCGAAAACATCAACTTTGCATTTCAAGAAAGTTCAAAAAGAGGAAAACTAAACCATCTTTTTTAGCGGTACATTAACATAAGGAATGACAAGGACACGATTATCCTAAATATGCGGATAAGAATAAGAGTGGTAGGGAGGCAGGCGGTTGTGAGTCAGAAACTGAACTCAGGAGATTCCAAGGTGCTGTTTATCTTAGATTCCTTGACCTTGATGAGAATCACCATTAAACTGATTATCTATGTTTGGTGCCTTATCTCAATCTAGTCACAGTTCACAATTAAAACACATAAAAATTCCATCATGGATATTTCTGACATGTTGGCATTCTGTGTCTTGACATAAATGGTGACTGCATAATTCTGTCTTTAACTTTTTATTCAATTTAATATTTCTAATACTTTTCTATAAAACTAGACTACAAAAATATTAAACAATAAAATAGATTAAAAACCTTTATGATTTACTCCTTGCCCACAAAATGAATTTCAGGCTCCTTAGTCTGAAGTGTTAAATCCTTCCATAGCCTGTACTGACTACCATTGCCTTTCTAATCCTAACTTCCCGTATCTTTTATGGAAATAAAACAAGTCTTTAAAAAACCCCAACAGATACTTATTTTACTATTGCCTTTAACTAAACAAAAAACAAAACCAAAAAACTCCTGACCTTTTGCCTTATTCTTTATTTGAAGGTAAGGGGGGCGGGATTTTGAATTGCCTACCACACATTTTTCAAAGATGAATCAGAGCAGGGTGAAACACTTGCTCCGTCTTTGACGATGATGACTATGTGTCTGTAACACAATTCTCAGAAAGAACAAATTTCTCCCAAGTTGTTGTCTAGCCGACCTTGTGTGTTTAAGAATTGTCTTTCTGATTTAAATCAGAAAGGCATGGGTATGTGATGTTAGACATTGGGTTGGGCCCACCAAAACTGAAAAAGCAGCAGCCTGAATTAAGCCCCGGGTCTTCCTGCATAGACTCAGTTTCACACTTAGTCATAGTCAACTTCACACGTAGACACCACTGAAAGAACCAAAGCCAAATGTTCCTGGAAAATAGGACCTAAGTTTGCAGACACTGGCTGCAAAGATCTGAGCTCCATTCTTGGGGTGGAGAGCTCACAAAGAAGACCCAGGGGCAGCTTCCAGGGGAAAAGACAAGGGAGGGGCAGGATGTGGTCTTGGTGACTCACAAGTGCCCCCCCCACCCCGCTCTTCTGAGTCAGCATGCAGCCACATGGCCCCACAGGGTGCAGTTATGGCTCCCGGATGAGCTGTCACACCAGGTCCTCCCGGCCTGCCCTCATGAAAGCACTTGGTATTTGCAGAAGCCCAGTTTGTCCTAAGAATTGCTTCTCCTATCTCTTCAAATCAGGCTAGCCACACAGCTTTGAAGCTTTCTGATAAATGGCACAGTGGCTGGAGGTGGTGCTGAGCTCACTTGCCTTGCAGGCTCCTTAAAATGGTAAGGTAACATCATGCAGTTGGAGAGAGCCTAGCACGGTTGTTGAGAAGCTGGGTGTTGTAACCAAGCCCCCAGGTTCAAACTGCTGCTTGGCACCTTCCAGACTTGTGATTTTGTAAGTATGTGTACCATGTTCTTCTTGCCCCTGGGGAATGAATTGTGTTCATGATGTGGATGGTACAGTAGGAACTCAGTAGCATCCTCCTGGTGAGGCCGACAGTAGAAGTTCCTGCAAGAGCCAGCAGAGCTGTGGCCATTCCACTGGTGGCTGTATCTGGCCTTTTCAGATCAACTTCTTTTACTTGGCAATATGCTTTTGAAGTCCTTCCACATCTGTTTGAGGCTCATTTCTTTTTATTGTTCAAAAATATTCTATTGTAAGGATGTACAACATCTTGGTTGCTTCCACTTTGGGGCAATTATGAATAAAGCTGCTGTAAATATTTATGTGCAGCTTTTTATGTGTCTATAAGTTTATGACTAATCTGGGCAAATACTTAGGCGTGTGATTGCTGGATTATATGGTAAGACAATGTTTAATTTTGTAATAAAATTTCAACTGTCTTCCATAGTGGCTGTACCATTTTGCATTCTACCCAGCAGTGAATGAGCTTCCTGAATAATACACACATATACACACCCCTACTTCACACCACATGTAAAAACCAGTTCTGGATGGACTGAGAGATAAATCAATAAAACTTCCAGAAGATACCACAGAATATCCTGTTTTAAAATCTTTTTGAAGCACTAGCTTAAGAAAATGAAAAGGGAACCCACAGATTAGAAAGAAATATTTATGAGACATATTCAATAAAGAACTTATATACAAAGAACTGAAAACTCAACAGTAAAAAAAAACATTATTACAAATTGGGCAACTGATCTGAATAGACACCTCACCAAACAGGATATGCAGATGGCAACATGAAAAATGTCCAACAGCATATGCCACTGGAGATTTTTTAATTACAGCAAGATATCACTACACGTCTATTAGAATGATCAAAATCCAGCATGCTGAAAACAGCAAATGCTAACCAGGATGTGGAACAAATAATCCAGCATAATTTATCCAACAGATCGGCCTGTCCCCAATGCATTGCAGGACCACTGAAATGCAGGGAGAGGATGTGTGGCTCTATTGGCTCTATTCTTGGTCTGTTTTTTCTCTATTTGTGTCAGTAGCTCACTTTTTAAGTTGCTGTCACTTTAAAAATAACCCTTGATTACTGTTAGCTAATCTTCACAGTGTTTTGGGATATTATTTAAACATTTTTAAAGTTTAAGATTTTTATTTAAGAGGGAGAGGGAGAGGGGTGGATGGAGAATGAGCGAGTGAGCTAGCTCCTACCTGCTGGTTCACTTCCCAGTGGCCAGGGCTGGGCCAGGCCTGGATTGGATCCAGGAGTTAGGAATCCAATTACTGGAACCTTCACTGCTGCTTCCCAGGGTCTGTAGGGGGCTGGAATCGGGAGCCTGAGGTGGGGACTGACCCCTGGCATTCTGACGTGGAACATGGGCATCTTAACTGCTAGGCTAACCCCCTGCCCCGTTACTGGAATTCTTCATCCTTTGCATTTCGATATAAAGTTTAGAAATGGCTTGCCAGTTTCCACTCATGACGATAAACATATGTTTAACAAAAAGCCCTTCTGAGAACTTGGTTGTAGATGTTTTGAATCTACAGGTGGGCATTCTCAAAACTTTTGGTTTCAGAAGCCATCTATCCACTTCAAAATTATTGAGAACTCTAGGGACGTTTTGTTGACATCGGTTAAATTTATTGATATACACTATAATGGAATTGAACATTGAGAAAATTTGAAAATATTTTCTAATTAATTTAGTAATGATAATAAATGCATTCCATGTTAAATACATAAGTGATATATTTTAAGTGAAAATAACAGCATTTTCTAAAACAAAATATATTACTGATTAATATGTTTTACATTTTTATAAATCTCTTTAATGTCTAGCATAGCTGGATTCAGTCTGTTGCATTACGTTGTTTCGATTGAGGTGCATGAAGACAGACTGGCCTCAGACATGCAGGTAAGTAAAAAGGGAGGCGTCTTTATTAGAATCCCCAGAAAATGGTGAATATTCTCCTTTGAGCATACAGTGAAACACCAAAACTGCCAGTTCACTACAGGATAATTGCAGTGCTTGATACTTGTAAAAACTGAATTCCCTAACTCCATTGTCTGGATCACCTATGGTTCTGTTTAATTGTCTATTTTGCTCCTCATATTCCCCTCACCCCCAATTCTTGTTCCTTTCTCCCTGATTCCTAGAGTATTTGGTCACTGTTTACTGACAATCAGAACTGTATACAAATAATCGTGAAGTCCCTGGGTGATGTCATCTGTTCCAGAGAATAAGTAATTTCTTTTTTCTGGAGGGCAGATAGAATCCATGGAAAACACTTTAGTTAAGGCTTTTCTGTTTCTGGATGCTTTTTATTCACATGGTGCATCCCTTTAAGTATCTCTTTTTGGTGCTGGTCCCTGAATTCCGGCTTTTCTTTCCTTGGTACCATGAGATTGCCTAAATGTCTGCTTTGCTTTTTACCTTCATATTAGCTGCTTCTGCCTTCTTGCCCCATATATGCTCCTCTTAGAAATTAGGAAATGCTGGGCTGGCACTGTGGCGCAGCCGGTTAATGCCCTGGCCTGAAGTGTCAGCATCCCATATGGGCGCCAGTTCGAGACCAGGCTGCTCCACTTCCAATCCAGCTCTCTGCTATGGTTTGGGAAAGCAGTAGAAGATGGCCCAAGTCCTTGGGCCCCTGCACCCGCGTGGGAGACCCATAAGAAGCTCCTGGCTCCAGATCGGTGTAGACCTGGCCGTTGTGGCCGACTGGGGAGTGAACCATCAGATGGAAGACCTTTCTCTCTGTCTCTCCTTCTATGTATATCTCTATCTGTCAAAAAAAAAAAAAAAGAGTAATAAAATATGAGTGATCTTCTAAGAGTTCATGGGAAAGACATATGAAAAAATACTTAGCTTTAAAACATTTTTGCACCAAAAGAAACATCTTTTAATTTAATTTTCTGTGAACTTTTTAAGTACCCCTCATACTGTGAAAAAATATTTATTCCAGAAAGCAAATATGTTTTAATATTAAAGGAATTAAGTTATATCTCATCCAAATGCTTTAAAAATCAACAATCTTTTCTACTCAGATAATTTTTCATAGTAATTTTAGCTTGAATATTACCTTCTTATCATTATAAAAATATAATTATCTAATCCAGGGATTGACAAATATGACTCATGGTTTGTTTTATTTATTTATTAATATATTTTTTGACAGGCAGAGTTAGACAGTGAGAGAGAGAGAGACAGAGAGAAAGGTCTTCTTTTTCCATTGGTTCACCCCCCAATGGCTGCTGAGGCTGGCATGCTGCGCCGATCTGAAGCCAGGAGCCAGGTGCTTCCTCCTGGTCTCCCATGCGGGTGCAGGGCCCAAGCACTTGGGCTACCCTCCACTGCACTCCCGGGCCACAGCAGAGAGCTGGACAGAAAGAGGAGCAACCGGGACAGAATCCAGCGCTCCGACCGGCACTAGAACCCGGTGTGCTGGCACTGCAGGCGGAGGATTAGCCTAGTGAACTGTGGCACCAGCCTCATGGTTTATTTTTGTAAATAAAGTTTTGTTGGAACACCGATATGTCCATTCATTTACTATTATCTGCATTATGCTGCATTTATGCTACAATGGCAGAGTGGAGTAGATGTGAAAGGTGGTATGGCTGGAGCCTACAGTATTTACTCTATGGCCCTTTAAGAAAAAGGTTGCCATGTTTTATCTATTTTATCATAAGCAGTTTTCTTGTGTGTAAATTGAGGATAATATTGGTTCCTTCACTGGCTTGTTATGGGAATTAAATAATTTTATATCACTATACATATATTTGTATCTGTATATGTATATATACAAGCATCTAGTAATAGTATATTACTTATTAAGAGTAACAATAAAAGGGAGATCAATTAGCAGGGCCAAGTGGTGGTTTTTCCATTTCCTACTGTTCAGTTTTTTTTTAAAGATTTTTTGTGGGGCTAGCGCTGTGGCGTAGCAGGTTAAGCTGCCACCTACAGTGCCGGCATCCCATATGAGCGCCGGTTCAAGTCCCTGCTGCTCCACTTCTGGTCCAGCTTCCTGCTGGTGTTCTGGGAAAGCAGCAGAGAATGGCCCAAGTGCTTGGGTCTCTGCACCCATGTGGGAGACCTGGAAGAAGCTCCTAGCTCTTGGCTTTGGCCTGGCACAGCCCTGGCTGTTGTGGCCATTTGGGAAGTGAACCTGTGGTTAAAAGACTCCCCCCTCCCCCATCTCTCCGTAACTCTGCCTTTCAAATAAAAAAAATTCTTCCTTATGTTTCATTAAAATATCTCCGACATTACATTTATGTTCCTTCAATTCTTTTTTTTCCACTCTTTTGAATCCAAAGAGAACAAATAATCAGTGACTGTAAAATCCTTCAGTTACATGTGTCAGCTGTAAATGAACATTCCCAGTATTCTCTTCATGGAATCTGCTCTGTCCTTCTAGGTCCCTCATTAATTTTTTTGGTGTGCTGATCAAAATTAGGCACATTTCCATTTATTATTTTAGATACCTGGACAGGGTCACATAGTGTCCATCTTAGTAAAATACTCTTAACATACAGACTTGAAAATTTATGGCCAGAAATGTTAAGTAGTTGAACCAAAAATGAAGTTTGCTAGTAAAAACTCTGAGGTATAACCTACCACTTACTTGGAGTTCATTCATTACTCCTGAATTCAGTTGTGGTTACATATTTTCATACCTTGGGGACTTGAAGTCAATGAAGATGTGGTCCTTGTCCTCCAGGATGTTAAAGGTCATGTTATTTTCCATGATAAAAGGATATATAAAGTAATGCGGGAGGGGCTTATCTAGAAAACATCTATATAGTTTCCAAGGATTGTTCTTACAGAGTAAATAACACAAATTGGCTGCTTCAGACAATGAGTATTTATTCTACCATGGTTCTGGAGGCTATAAGTGCAAAATCAAGGTGTTCCCTGTGAAACTTGTAGGGTAGAATCATTCCTTGTCTTGTCCTAGCTTCTGTTAGTGGCCAGCAGTCCTTGGTGTTTTTGGGTTGTGACGGCATCACTCCGAACTCTGCATCTCTCATCAGATGGTATCATCTCTGTCGGTGCCCAAAGTTCTCTTTTCTTAAATAGAGACGGTCATACTGGATTGTGGACCACTGTGATGACCTCATGTACATCTGCAGAAACCCTATTTGCAAATAACGTCTCATTCACAGGCACTGGGGATTAGGACTTCAACATATGTGTCATGGGCAGACAGTTCAACCCTTAGCAGAGTTTACAATGGGCATCCATTTTACTTCTCTTCCATTGTGTAGTTAATTGATTTGGGTGGTAAAAGCTTGTCCCTGAGTTTTAGAGAATGGACCCTAAATAGGCCAAGCCAATCAGAATAATCCTGTTTCCCTTGCTGTTGCTATTGATTCGTGTACATAATGTAATCCAGAATTAGACCAATCAGCATCTGGTATTTTCCAGGGGTTGTTCTATAGATGAGGGAAACAACTGTGTCTTTCTGCAAGTAAGGCAATAGGTAGCCCAGTTTCTACTGGCAGCCATTTGCGGTCATGAGAAAAAGCCAAGGCAGGGACAGAAGCATGATTTGTAGAAAGAGAATTAAGAGACTCACACTCACAAAAATGGAGCTGTAGCCCTAGACTTTTCAGTAATACATGACAGTACTTTGCTTATTGCTGGAGCGGACTGGATTTGAATTTTCTGCTTCTGTCAACAAGGATCAGCTTACCTTACAAGGCTACCTGTGGAATATCCAAGAGCTTTCAGGGGAGCTGATAGATTTCTGCATTGGAGGAAGCATATAAGCTAGAGATAGAGAATTCTGAGTCCATGTATTTAGTGTACTTGAAACCATGACAATGGGGGAAGTTATCCACAAAGCATTAAATGAAAATAACCCAGATGCTACAGAAAATATTTGAATTGATTACGGGAAGCTTAGGACACCATGAAAGGAACTAATATATGTTGGCTATATAGTCTGTGTCAGAAAGTACATTAGCACTTAACCTACCGTGAGTCAGTAATTCAATGCTACAAGTGTATGTCAAAAACTTTGGGGCAAAATGGAATTAAAAGGTAAGATTTTTTGGTACACAAAATTGGAAGCCAAGCATTTTTTTTCATAATGTGCATTTTTCCATGAGCTTTTTGAAGATCCATATATATATATATGTATATATAAGATCTTAGCATACAGCATTGTATGGGTATAATAATTATTAGGTTTTGTGGATATTACAGCAAGTGACTAGTAGAGCCAGGTTTTTTGGACTCATTTATCTTAGTATCTTCAGGGCTTTGGGTAGGTTATAGGCTTGAAAGTAAATATAGAGCATAGAGAAAGTGAATTAACAAAAGTAATTAAGAATATTTAAGTAAATTATGGTCTTTGTAGGGTGACAGAATGGCAGTATTGACAACATATATACCTAAACATATGAGCAGGAAATATCAAAATTTGTTATTTTTTGGTGGTTTGGTTTAAAAATACCAATAAATGAACTGAAATACAGTGAGAAGTTCTTTTCAGTCTGGTGCAGTGTATAATTTTGATTGGGTCAGATAAAACTGGATGCTTGGGTTGGAGGCTGGGCCTCAGGAGAGAGGGATGTGGGCCTGCTGCAGGGAGCCTAGCGGGGCAGAAGAAAGCGTGGGCTCTGGAGACACGGTGAAAGGAGACCCAGACTCAGCAGAGTACACTGTGCACCTGCTGTGTGTTAGCCGCTGTGCTGGGGACCTATGCGGTCTTGTCGATTTGAAGATGAGGAACTGAAGCTTTGAGAGATTAAGTGGTTTGCTTAGTGTCACAAAACTAGGAACAGATTGAACCTGGAGTCCTAATTCCAAGAGCAATTTTGGTTTTTAATGATACCTCAACTTTCTGCCTTAGATTCATTGAATAACTGGATACAGAAGAAAGATGAAAGGGGAAGAACCAAGGTGTTGATTGGGTTTTCCAGTTGGGTAACTGAGAGCATGTTGATACCATAAGAAACCATGTTTGTGTGCACAAATATGCACAAACTTGTATGTGTACATGTACATACACACACACACACACATTTTCCCATCCTTTCTATTATGGTCTGAATGAGGGTGTCCCCTCCCCTCTCCCAAATTCATATGTTGGAATCTAATATCTAATATGATGGTGCTAATGGATGGAGTCTTAAGGAAGTTAACTCATGGGGTTTTTGCCTTTATGAATGGAATCAGTGCCCTTATACATTATATTTATGTCCAAAGACATGAAGGGAGCTACTTTTCCCCTTCTGCCATGTGGAGAAGTAGCCATAGGGCACCATCCATGATGCATCTTGATCTTGGACTGATCAACCTTTAGGACTGTAAGCAATAAATTTCTGCTTGTAAATTACCCAGTCCAGGGCATTTTGTTGTAATAGCTCAAACAGATGAAGACACTCCCAAATTCATAACACTATACACATTCTCTAATTGGCATCCATAATAATGCAGTACATATACATCCCATATCTACACCAATGTTGTGAAATGAACTCATGCAGTAAGCCTCCTAATGAGCACAAAATACAAACAGATGTAATAAAGGTATGCAGCTAACATTTACGGAGCACTTACCAAGTCATCGCACTGTTGGTAAATGTTGCACACATGTTATGTCATTTATTCACAATAATTCTGTGAGATTCTTTTAAAAAATATTTCAGAGGCAGAGAGACATGCAGAGAGAGACAGAATAAGAGAGCAAACTTATCATACCTTGGTATATGTTTTAGAGCTTTACCCATAGCAGACATTTGGTTAAATACATGCATCAGCATCTCTGTGGTAAATGGGGTTGCTTCTAGCTAGTCTTTCCTGTTGTTACTTCCTAGGCATAGTTTACATTTTCGAGTCGTCCAGCTCCTCATCTCCGGTACTTGCTTTGTCTTCTTGCCTGTGGACTGCCCCTTCTGGAACGTGTCCAGCAGCTTTCACCGCCACTTCCAACACAGGGCTCCTACTTGCAGCTCTACCCTAATTTTGAGCATCTTCCTATGCCATTTCTGAAGCTGCAAATCCTAGAAGCCATACTTTTACGGGTGTCCAGATACCCCTGGTGTGAAGGAATGAAGCTCTTTGCATAGAGAAGGGAATTGTGGCCCAGAGTCTGTTTGGTCTTGCTTGTCCCTGGAACCACAGGTAGTTTATTTATGACCAACAGAAAACTTACTAATCTGTTTTCTTTCAGTGGCAAGTGGCAGGGACCCAATTCAAACTTAAGCACAGGAAGGAGTTCTCTCTCTCTCTCTCTCTTTTTTCTTCCTTCCTTCCTTTCTGTTATTAGAGGCAGAGAAGGAGAAAGACATACAAGCAGAATAGGAGAAAGAGACCTCCCATTACTGATTCACTGCCCAAATGCCCTGCAACCGTCAGGGCTGGGCAAGGCTGAAACTGTGAGGCAGGAACTCAATCCAGGTCTCCTGGGTGGGTGGCAGGGATCCAACTATTTGAGTCATCACCTGTGGCCTCCCAGGGTGCACAAAAGCAGGGCGCTGGACTTGGGAATGGAGCCAAGACTTGAACTCAGGCATTCTACCATGGGATGCAGGCTTCCCAAGCAACATCTTACCTGCTAGGGCAATAGCCTGACCCAGAAGGCATGTCCTGACTCACTAGAATAGGGGAAATTGAGGTATAGCATCAGACATACTCTAAACATTGTAAATTTATAAAATTTTAAGAAGGCATTTCTGAGTATAGCAAGTATGATAATTTGAGTTTTACTTTTAGAAAGTTTCAAAGAGGGGCCGGTGCTGTGGCACAATAGGTTAATCCTCCACCTGAGACGCCGGCATCCCCTATGGGTGCCAGTTCTACTCCCAGCTGCCCCTCTTCCAATCCAGCTCTCTGCTATGTCCTGAGATAGCAGTAGAAGATGGCCCAAGTGCTTGGGCCTCTGCACCCGCGTGAGAGACCAGGAAGAAGCACCTGGCTCCTGGCTTTGGATTGGCACAACTCTGGCCATTGTGGCCATCTGGAGAGTGAACCAACGGAAGGAAGACCTTTCTCTCTGTCTCTACCTCTCACTGTTTGTAACTCTACCTCTCAAATAAATAAATAAAATCTTTTTTTAAAAAAAGAAAGTTTCATAGATGGAAAACTATTTTTAAAAAATCTATGTGATAAGAGTGGGAATAAGAGAGGGAAGAGATGTATAATTTAGGGCATGCTCGGGCTGACTTGCCCCAATTGGTAGAGTTGGAAACATACCAGGGTACTCCAATTTAATCCCATCAAGGTGGCATGTACCAATGCCATCTCACTATTCCAAGTGATCAATTTCAGTTCACAATTGATCATAATGAAAGGACTAAGAGTCAAAGGGAGCACATAAACAAGTCTAGTATCTGCTAACACTAACCGATAGAATAAATAAAGGGGAGAGTGATCCAACATGGGAAGTGAGATACTCAGCAGACTCATAGAATGGCGGATGTCCTAAATAGCACTCTGGCCTCAGAATCAGCCCTAAAGGCACTCGGATCTGGCTGAAAAGCCCATGAGAGTATTTCAGGCATGGAAAGCCAAGACACTCTGGCAAAAAGATCTCTGTGAGTGAGATCCCAGTGGAAAGAACAGGTCTTCAAAGAGGGAGGTGCCTTTCTCTGAAGGGAGGAGAGAACCTCCACTTTGACTATGACCGTGTCTAAACAAGATAAGAGTCGGAGAACTCAAGGGGCTTCCATAGCCTTGGAAACTCATGACTGGTGCATAGGGAGATTACTGATGCCATAAACAGGAGTGTCAATTTGTAAAGTCAACAACAGGAGTCACTGTGCACTTATTCCTCATGTAGGATCTCTGTCCTTAATGTGCTGTACACTGAGGCTTAATGCTATAACGAGTACTCAAACAGTATATTTCACTTTGTGTTTCTATGGGGGTGCAAACGATTGAAATCTTTACTTAATGCATACTAAACTGATCCTCTGTAAAAAAAAGAAATTATCAATTCCCAACTTGACTCTCACTGGGATTAAACATGACATTAGGTCTGATCTGATTTCATCATCATTTAAAAAAAATCATCTATTATTTTTCACTTTATGTTTCTGTGTGGGAGCAAACTGTTGAAATCCTTACTTAAGGTATACTAAGCTGATCTTCTGTATATTAAGATAATCGAAAATGAATCTTGATGTGAATGGAAGGGGAGAGGGAGTGGGAAAGGGGAGGGTTGTGGGTGGGAGGGACGGTATGGGGGGGGAAGCCATTGTAACCCATGAGTCGTACTTTGGAAATTTATATTCATTAAATAAAAGATGATAAAAAAAAAATAGAGGGATGGCATGACTGCCATTCAGCTGAAAATCAAAAGTTAAAAAAAAAAAAAAGAAAACTATGCTATGGATCTCAAAACCTTTTTGCACTAAAATAAACTTTTTTCATAAAAAAAAAATCTATGTGAGCTTCTTATGTTGATAAAGTTCTTAAACAGGAAAAAAGTGATGAAATTTGTCATGAAGATGACTCACAAGGAAGGTGTTCTTGAATATACGTGTATTAAGGTAAGACAATGTATGTTCAAAAACTGTGAAAATGGTGGTGCGCGTTTAGCCTAGTGTTTGAGATGCTGATTAAAACAGGCATGCTCCATAGCAGAGTGCCTGGGTTCGATTCCTGGCTCCTGACTCCAGCTTCCTGCTAATGCAGACCCTGAGAAGCAGCAAAGATGGAGATGTGATTGGGTTTCTGCCACCCACACTGGAAATCTGGATTGAGGTCCTGGCTCCCAGCTTTGGCCTGGTCTGGCCCTGGCTTTTGCAGGCATTTGAGGGTGTGAACCAGTAGATGGGAACTCTGTCTGTCTCTCCGCTTCTCAAATAAATCAACAAAAACAAAAACAAAAACCCCTGAAAATGTACTTTACAAACAAAATTTTCCGTAAAGCTTAAAATAGCCAGCTTGTACAATTTAAACATTTTTGGGGGATCTGGTCCATATTTTATTTCACTTAAGTTATGGGTCAAATGGATTAAGGAAATTCATGTTTGCTGAGAACATGGAACAGTGGTAAGGGTCTGTAGACTTCATAACAGTTTTGAAAAAAAATGAGTGTCTAAAGTGAAAAGATTACTACAAGTAGAATATTGGTTGTAATCTGTTCAGAAGATGTGTAAGGCTCACGTTTATAAAATCTGAAGTAAAAATAACTACAAATCATGCTTTAATCTGTGGGGCATTCCCAGCTGCATGAAGTTTGTCCTTGTTAGAGAAATTACCTTCCTTTCTCCCCCCTCAGGCATGCATGTCCAACAGTTCCTGTCTCCACGTACGCCTTAGGCAACAAGTTCAGAGCTCAATTACCTGCTCTCTGCAGTCTCCTACGTTGCAGCAAGCTAGCGAAATAGCATTTTTGTCCGAAGTCTTGACCCCTGCTCATCTTTTCCCTTCACAGCCCTGCAAGCTATTTGGCATATGAAGGTCTTGACCTAAGAAAACCATCTTGGATAACCGCGGCAAGGAAAAGGAAAAACGCAACACCTAGGAGATTTCAGTAAACAGCAGAATCATGCCAACCTAATCTGTGTTAAAATGCCTGGAATGTGGGAGCTGCTGCTGATGCCTGTTGTCTGTGTGTCTCACTGAATCCTTTCTTTTCTCAGAGCAGCAAAGCAAAGCCTGGGAACCAAGCCAAATGCCTGCCACTTACCTTAAATTGATCAGCCACTTTGAGATTAAAACCCCTGAAAGCTGCCACACCGTGAAAACAAGGCCTCCTTCACATTAAAGGCAAATTGCGACTTTGGGTTTGCTGTGATCTTTTTTCCATTTTATCCAGTTTTTCACAGTGCATACTTTTTTTCCCCCCTTTCCATTTATGCTCCAATGTAGAAGCCAATAGTTACAGCATCTTGGCCAAGCATTCATTAAGGTTTATAAGAACAAAATTTATGGTTATTTAGGAGTTGGCACAGAAGCCGACTGTTGCTGGAAAAAGAAAAAGAAATACAGGTGGGAAATATAAGCCTCCACAAAGGCCTGCACTATATAGGAGTTTGCTGGGCTCTCACTCAGCGGTGATCTGGAAGGAAAATTAAACAGTGTTTGAAACCAGCTACTCCTCTATTCTGGACCCTTCTCATTTTATGGCTCTGCGGATTCTTGAAACAAGTACACTGGTGATTCCAAGAGATGTTTCTGTCTTGTGTTCTTGTGTAAATGCTACCATTTACAGGAGCTGGCAGTAGTAGGGATAAACAGATGTGTGGTAATCTAGGTGATAATCTGTCAGCTTGGCTAATGCATTTGGGGACTTTACCCATGTCTACGTATGTGCGTCTCTAAGTACCTATGCATCTATCTATCTATCCACCTACCTACCTATCATCTATCTAGACAGACAGATATTGCAGATCAGAAGAAGCACTCTTCCAGGAAGAGAAGAGTCATATCTCCTCCTCAGCAGTCCTTACATAATGGCCAGGCCTGTGTTCCCAAAAATTTAGGGTGTGGACAAAACACACCCTTAATCTTTGAATTCAGGCAGTACTGTGGAATTCTGGTGCAGCCTCAAAGCCTATATTCTCCCTCAGGAAATACTGTTCATGGTTCTTCTTCTACTTCTTGTTAAAATAAATGCTCTCTGATTCCCTTCACAAGGGTAGGAAAATACGAAAATTCCCTTGCCCTGTCTTTTGAAATACTTGTGAAGCAAGACTTTTATTTGTTAAAGTTGGATTTATTTATTTATTTGACAGACAAGAGCAAGAGAGAGAGAGACAGAGCCACAGAGAGATCTTCATTAGCTGGTTCACTCCTCAAATGCCGGCAATGGGCAGGGCTGAGCCAGGCTGAAGTCAGGAGCCAGGAACTCTATCCAGGTTTCCCTGAGTGGCAGGGACCCAAGTACTTGGGCCATCATCTGCTTCCTACCTGCGCGCACATTAGCAAGGAGCTGGGTCAGGAGTGAAGCAGGGACTCGGCACGGGCACCGTGATAGGGGATGTGTGCATCCCACGCAGCATCTTAAACCACTGAACCAATGCTTCCCCAAGATTTTTAAGAATGGATTTTCATTTCTATTCTTTGGTGTCTGAGAAACAACCAGGAGTACTTGCTCTTATTAGGAAAAATGTATACTTTCAGGTATTCAGGACATAAACTGTTCCTAAAATAATGTATTGTTTTGGCAGCACCAGTAACTCACTCTATGACTTGGGGCAAGGGAATTTAAATATCCAGTCATTTCCCATTATCAAATAGAAATTTTGATACATACCAATCATGATCATATATACTCTACCAGATGGTATTTGCTTTTATTTTCATGACATTGCTGGAGCTAGCATTTTTGTCCCTCTTCCTCCTCCTTGAAATTAGGCTTATCTCTTTTACTGACTTTATTTTGGAACTCTTTCACCTACTTCTTTGTATTCCTTCTTATCAGTATGACCCCAACATAGATACACATATAGTGCTATGTTCACTTACATTTGTTCACGTGTCGCTCTGCTAGGGATCCATTTAATTTTGCTTGAATATAAGCACTTTCTTCTAACATACACTTAAAACTTCTCAAGGGTATGACTTTCTTGGTATCTCTCTACCATACTTACTGCTGTCCTCTGTTCTGACAAGAAGCTCATTAAATTTTGAAAACTGCTTATGAGCAGAATCCTGTGCATCATTTCGTAGAGTGCCAAGTATCTCTACAGATGCATGAACATGCAATGTGATCATCATTTGCACATAATACTAATTATTTCTGAGCATGGGCAAGCCTATTTAGTAGCCATAAGAAGTCATTTCTCTTGTTTTATAATGTATCAGAAAGAACCATGATACAGCCATGATGGAAGGAAACACAGAAAGCCAGAGTTCAGTCTGTTGCTGATCTCTGTCTCTTTTTCTTTTTTTAAAAAACTATTTATTTATTTATTTGAGAGAGAGAGAGAGATCATCCCCATTTGTTGGTTCACCCCCACCCCAAACTGCCTACCAGAGTTGACACTAGGCGGGGCTGAACCCTAGAGCAGGGAACCCAATCCAGTCTCCCACAGCAGGTGTCAGGAACCCAGTTCACCCAGCTGTTGCCACTTCCTTCCAGCGTCTGCACTAGCAGGAAGCTGGAGTTAAGGAAAGGAGCTGGGCATCAAGCCTCGGTACTGTGATGTGGGACATAGGTGTCTTAACTGCTAAGCTACACATCTGCATTTCTGCCTCTTCAATTGCCATACAGCTTTGTCATTTAAATTTTCCATCATGGGTAATATATTTTCATGTCAACTATCAATTTTATCATATCTTCCACATCTTCATGTTTCATATTAACTCTGAATCTTCTATATTTTGTTAGTTATCATGTATTTATGGTATATGTTTAATGTTAGGCTAAAGGTAATTGGAAAATTCCTATATATCAAGAAGTTGTTGGGAAGACAACACAAAGCAAGTAAACAGCTGCCTGCAGTTATTTGCTTTGTATCATGTAACAGTCTGAGGGCAATTCAAAGGAATACATAACAGAGTTATATTTTATAACGAAACTGTCAATATGAGAATTCAGAGAGTGTTCCTACAGAGATGATGGAGGGAGGAAAGGCTCCCTGAGACAGGGGACTGACATACAGAAAGGCCCGGAGGTGGGGATGAACAGATACCACAGAAATACAAGGGACCAGAAGAAACTTCTATAAACAATTTAAGAACCTTGAAGAAATGGATAAAATCCTAGAAACATGCAACTTACTAAGACTGAATCATAAAGAAATAGAAAATCCAAATAGATCAATAATAGGAGATTGAATCATTGATAAAGAATTGCTCAACTATGAAAAGTCCAGTACTTGATGGCTTTATAGCTCATTCTACCATACATTCAAAGAAGAATGAATACCAATCCTTTTAAAGCCCTATCAAAATATTGATGTGGAGGAAATACTTCTAAACTCATGTGTAGGGCCAGTATCACCTTGATCCCAAAGCCAGACAAGGACACTACATGAAAAGAAAATGATAGGTCAATATTCCTGATGATCATGGTTGTAAAATCCTCAAAAAAATACTAGCTAACTGAATTTAGCAGCACATTAACAGAATCATACA